GGTTTTTTTTTTTTTTTTTTTTTTTTTTTTTTTTTTTTTTTTTTTTTTTTTTTTTTGTGTGGCTTTGTTAGATCTTAAGCGGGGTCCTTTCATCTTTAACCAGTATCTATTATGCTAACAAGTATTCGATATGTATTGAGAAAGTGTCAAAGTCTCTAACACATGTCGTCCAAGTCTCTACCATGGAGACGATAGGCTAGTCAAACTTTCTCTAGTGTTCATGCATCTTTACCAAAGGGATAAAGAAAATCTCGAGCAGTTCACATAAACACAAGAAATTACCTTATCTTACCTTGCCTTCATTGCAGTTGAACAGCGAAGTTTAACCATTTTGCATGTGAAACTTGAAGCCATTGTTGATTAAAATACTTTTGGTCCAAAAAATTATGGTCTCATATCTCAAAGCTAGACATAAGCGACGTTGTTAAGTGAGTAGCCAGAGATCACAAATCTATAAACTAATCTATAAACTAAACAAAACTAGCAACAATAATACATAAATAAAAAAATAAGCAAAAGAATTCTCCCCTCAATGTCTCCACCTAGGGTAAAAACTCGAACAAGAAATTCGAGGACTAGAAGCTCTTGATCATCAGTTTTCTCAACGGTTTTGGAGATTTTAAGCTCGATTCAAGGATGTATGTACTAAACACAAATTTCAAAGTTGAATGATCTATCTCTTGAGGGGTAAAAACCTAAAATTTTGCGGAACAAATTTAAAGATAAAAATGTTAAAATAAAAATTATTTGAAGTTTGGGACCAAGGAAGGACCATTTTGGAAGTGAGTTCAAAAACCCTATACCACGTCCACTAATAAATGGGCTTAAAATCAAAGCCCATTAGTACACATTCTCGCCGTCGACTGTAAGCCGGCGACCGACGAACGAAACGACGAGCGGAACCCTTCCAAATAAGGAACAGAATCCAAGACCGCCGTCGCCAAGATCCCATCACTTCAAACGACGAGCGGAACCCTTCCAAATAAGGAACAGAATCCCGTCGCCGTCGCCGTCGACTGTGCAATACAAAGAGTATCGAAAGAGGAGGAAGACGCTATCCAAAGACATGGCCGGAAGAAGCCATCAGCCGAATTCCTTGAAACGACGCGAATTTCCGTTGAGCCGAAGCCCTAGTGATGATCGTCGAGCCCATCAACGTCTTCCTTACTCAACTTCCGTTGGCGGTTCTTCGAGGGCTCACCAGGCAATCCTTCTCGAAGATCGGATATCAGCGCAGCAACGAGAGATTCAAACTCTCCTCTCCGACAACCAACGGCTTGCAGCCACTCACGTGGCGCTCAAGCAAGAGCTAGCAGCGGCTGAGAAAGAGCTTCGGCTCTTATCGGCCACTGCGGCTAAAGTCAAGGCCGAGACAGACGCAGAGGTGAGGGAGGTTTATGAGAAATCGCTGAAGATGGGCGCTGAGGTTCGTGCCATGGACGCTATGATGGCAGAGCTCGTTCAAGTGCGGGCGGATATGCAGAAGCTGAGTACCGTAAAGCAAGAGTTAACGACGGAGTTGCAAGCAATTCGCGACAACCTTTCTAAAACCTCTTCAGAGTCACAGCCATTGCCGTCTATTAAAGCTGAAATTGATAGAATGCACCATGAAATTCAAAGAGGAAGGTAAATTGTCATTTCTCCCTTAAGTTCGAAGATAAACCTTTTCATGTTAAAGCATCAATTTATTTTGAGTTGGCTGGTAAGGTTTATCCCTTTAATTGTTCTTCCTGGATTTGATTGTTTTGACACAAAGTCTATATTAGCTTAAATGTTGGGATACTCTATGCTAATTGCTCGCTAGCTGTATGTTTCTGCCGCAAATAAGATATCAAATGCAAAACCTTAATGCTGTGATGTTAATGCCTTGTCTTTCAGTTTCTTTGAACATTGGTAACTACTTGAACTATTCAAAAACTCTGAAGTGCGTTCATTTGGTGCAGCTATTTCTTTGTGGATATTGCTATAGCTGTGAAGAAATGACACCCCTTCATAGTAGTATATGTTTACGTGAAAAGGCTACTTTTGAAAGGCATGGTTCAAGAACAATATATACTAAGACCATCTATCCACAAAAAGAGAGAAAAAAAAAAAAACGAGTATTTGTTCAAGAAAACAAGCCTAATATCTGTTCACTTGGTGCAGAACTATGTCTTGTTTAAGTCTAGAGCCTGTATGATCTTACTTCGTGAACAATTTATCATGTCTAGCAAAGTTTGCACAATTCTCTTCTGCACTAATATTGTGTTAAATATCCTTTATGAAGTTGCTTTAACCATTGGTATCTAGAGAATCACTTTTGTTTTCCTTTTAACCAACCATTCGAATCGGAGATGTTAGTGGAATGAAAATATAAGTAGTTTCTTTTGAGGATCATGGGCATTTTGAAGTTTCATTGTTTTTCTATAGCCAACTCCGATGTTTCTTGTTTTTATGATTGTAGAACAAAACAACCTGATAAAAAATTAGTGAATTGGTACAATTCTTCTTTTTATGCAGAAGAAATGCAATGTAGTATTCTGTTTGTTTGATGAGCATAATTGAGGCTTGGGAATTACCTCTTGCTATCTGTTGTTGATCTGAACAGGGCTGCTATTGAATACGAGAAACAGACACGCGCCAGTAATCTTGAGCAGAGTGAAGCCATGGAAAAGGGTATGGTTGCCATGTCTCAGGAAGTTGAGAAATTGCAGGCTGAACTGGCCAATGCTGAGAAGAGAGCAAGGGCTGCGGCAGCTGTAACAAGTCCTTGTAAGCCTTCTTTTCATATATGGTAGCTTATACATCCTCCTTTTTTTGTCACTTAACTCTCTTTACATTGCATTTTCATACAGTTCCTGGTTATGCTGCAACTTATGGCCATCCTGACATAAGATACAGTGGGAGCTCACATCCCCCTGATCCTTATGGCATGCGTCAGGTACTCCTCTATGTCTGTATTAGTTCCATGGCTCAGAAATTCATTGCAGGGCTGGTTCTACCTTGACTCTTGGTGAACACCATTAAAATTCGTTGGAACATGAAGTCATCTTATAATCTAGGTTATGTTTGGGATGCCAAACGCATTTCAGACTCAATTGTTACGTTTGATAATAATATAGAAGTACTTTTGCAAAGAGTAAAAAACACCTTAGAGTGTTCTTTGAAAGGATACTTATAGAATGCTTTCAGCCTTAGTGTTGGACTAGACAGCACTCAAAAGTACTTTCAAGAGTGAAGGATAGGTCTAATCATCTAATGAATTGGTTAGTGAACACTTCATATTGAAGTGTTTGAAATCAAAACTAAAAGCATTACGAGACGTATAAAGCCAAATCTATGAACCAAGCAACATGGCTGCTCCTTTTCATTGACCATAAAATTGTTATAAAATTCTGCATAGGCGACTGTGAAGGTGGTTTTATGGGGTTGGAAAACATGCCCTATGCCCCCTTACAACTTAAGCAGGTGGGTTTTGGGTTTATTCTATTATGATTTGCCTTCGATTAACGAGTAAATATATGGGATTTTACGGGGTAACATTTTCTGAGTCCAACAGAATTGATGTCTTAACTGCTAAGCTACATTCAAATTGTCTAGTTGTGTCGTACTGATGTCATTGATAAGATTTATGAATGATTACCAAATTGCTTCTATCCATAATATAGAATGATGGTTTGTTTTAGGTTCAAGGAGGAGTCGGTGTAAATATTGCTTCGCAATACGCCCACGCACCACCGACGCATGGACCCCTTTACAGCGTGCAACCAGCACCACCACATATGCAATAAACGGGCAGAGCAATGTATGGACAAATTTTGTGCTCGATGAGGAAGGAGTCTCAGTGTCCTAGACTCCATAACAGGCGGAAGGCACTGTAAATACTGCCGCAGAAGCTGTTTTTCCATCGGAGTTCTTTCGTCCAGGGTCGCCGGGGAGGTATGCCACTGTCATGTACATTTTAACTTGTTAGGGGACCCTTGGCAGTTCTGAGAAGTGTTCAATATCTAAATTTTGACATCTCTTTTGATTCACTGATTAAATTTTGGATATATTCTTAAAGCTCGTTAGAAGTAGAACCATGTAATGGAAGCATCTTATGATGTTGAACAAAACAAGGTAACTATTTCTTCTCATCCTTTCACATTTCATCAATTATGAAATTGGAACGTCTATTTCTTAGTATCATAATTTCTTTTAATAATTTCTTATTTTAATTTCGAACTTCGTTTTAAAGAAATATAATCAAGTTATAAAATAAAAGTTAAACGAAGTTGTACCCTTCCTTCCACTGATGCAAAGTCACATATTAATTTAGACACAACTATGCTATCAATAAATATGAAAATGACTGAAAATATTTTATTTCTTCTGTAGTTTCTAAAATTTCAAGTTAATTTAGACACAACTGCAAATCTTTCCCTAGTAACTAAGTTATCAATAATAAATATCTATCCATTAATGATAACCATAGAGAAACTTCCACAGCTGCTGGGTTGAGTGGACAAGTCCACTAATAAGAGATTCAGACAGATCCATCCTTCCCGGAGACGAAGGGAGAAAAAGAAACAAAACAAAAAGATTGAGTCTCGATTGTTGGATCGGTATAGTAATCCTAGAGAGATTGTTAGATCAATATGGCAAATCTGGAGCGATTGTTAGATCAGTATGGCAACTCTAGAGTGATTGTTGGATCGGTTGATGGCAACCCTAGAACGATTGTTAGATCAGTATGACAACTCTAGAGTGATTGTTGGATCGGTTGATGGCAACCCTAGAACGATTGTTAGATCAATAGGGGGATCAGTACAATAACCGTAGCAATTGTTGGATCAGTATGGCAAGAGGGGGGTTGGATCAATATGGCAACCCTAGATATTGTTGGATCAGTATGACAAACCTAGAGACGGTTGGATCAATATGGCAACAAGGGGGTGAATAGGGAGTTTTTTAACAATAAAGGTAATCATCTAATTAGGTCTTGATTCTTGGATCAAAATAAACCTGAAACATCTGATATGAAACTGGATCTCAAACGTTTGACCAATTAAAAATATTAAAAATAGTTAATAATTAAAAGTAGATTCGTTAAATCAATTAATTAATATGAGATTAAGAGCCCAATAAATAAAAGATATACCATTTTAAAAGTGGATTAATGAATCATTAAATAATTTAAACTAAATTGCACTTACAAATATTTTCTAAAACATAAAGTACATTTCAATTTTCTTTCGGGCTTTTCTGATTTCGAGTTCAAAATCATATGGTACGGTCAAGAATTAGGAGGGAATCAAACACCATTTGACCGTGGGAGAGAGCGTACTATAAAACCGATACAACAGATGAGGTTGTTGGTTTCTTAAGAACAGTACTTTGGTACGGTAACCCAACTCAAAGCCACAAACATTCCCCAAACTGTTGGATGAAGACATTAAAATCAGATCTCAAGCATCGATTTCAAATGTAAATCTTCATTTGTTCTTTCATGACACCAATCAACTGAAGAGCTCAATAGCATTTCTTATGATCGATCGCTCCTCTGCACAACACAATTGCAATCGAGATTGTCACACTCATAATCAGGCCGGGGTACTACAACTATGAACCCATTTCAAGAACTATAATAAATATAGACAAAAATTATATGAACAAAGACCCCTAGAAACAACCACTTGTCCTTTTTCAAATAACAAAATCAGACTCATACGACACAATTCCAAGGTTATTGCTCACAAATATTTCCTGCAGTCACTGAATATGCAGAAGGAAACTAGCAATGGCAGAGCATCACAGTTCATGAGGTTAACTTGCCTTGAGATCTAACACTAAAATGAGTCTTTTTTAAAAATTTGGAGCGTCATCCCGACGTCTACATACAACAGAAATCGGCAAAAACATGCAACATTGCAAAGGCCTAAAATCCATTTACACCCAGTAATAGACCTCAAGAAATTGAAGTTTTCTATATTGGATATGAGCTATCCTCATCTCTAATTTTCTGAACCCTTGAGCACATGATATATGATAATCTCTTGAAAAATAGAAGACAAATTTGAAAAATCAGAAGCAGCCTTGAGCACATGCTAGACGAATAAAGGAATAATAAAGATTTTCAAGTAATCCCTAAGAAATAATGAATGAAATTTAGAAGTAAAGAAGAGAGGCAAGTTAATGTTTAATAAATAAATAAAATATGAATGCAGAAATGATAATTATAGGTTATAAGATATGCTTTGCATCAGAGCCAACAAGGGATGTCTGAGATCAGGAGGAGCTTATACATCAGCACCGGTGAAATTGTAAGGATGGTTATGGAAAGAGAAGCACTCACCTGAAAACATCAACACCTACCTTAGCAACAAGCAGTTTGGAGATTATCCGCCTGCCTCTATAAAAAAGACATTCACACAACTAGGTTAATCTCAAGCCTGAGCAAGATTATAACCCCTCCAGGTACCACTATTATATATTAAAAAGGAGCAAAGAGGTCTCTTGCCCATAGAAAGTGAACAACCTACCTCTTTGGTCTCCAATTCAAGAATCCAGCCACGGAACAAAATTAAAACACTAAGATCACAATTCCCATTACATAAAATGCTCAATGCCGAATTGCTCAGTAAGGACGAGATCTATTTCCACCATGCTGATGTCTATCAGGTCCTGAGCCTCCGTCCCTATAGCTATCTCTACGTCTATCACCACCACCACCACCTCCATATCCACCTCTGCCACCACCACTGCAACATGAAAAGGCGAGTTAGAAGAAAAAGAACGAATCTTTTTTAAAGCATGATTAATAAAATAATTTGCACATTCAGACAACAGAAGCATTTAAAAAAAACAAGTCACATTCTACACAAAACAAATTTACCGGACGATTAATTCTAAAAATCAATTAAAACAAAAAATAGCTATTGTTGCATCTTGCAACATAACCCAACAATCATAACAAAAAAAGGTGCAACCATTCATATCCTACATACTTGGATATTGAATTACAAAATCAATTTAATGGCAGTCCAATATAAGGTCATCAATCATAGGCCGAATAAACCAAAAATTAGTTAAATATCTTTGTAAGAAACACAAATTGGCACAAAAAGAAGGGAGATAAGTAATCCACCCCCAAACTAAATAAAACAAAAAACTACCCCAAAAAAAACCTATTGGAATTTATGGAAAAAAAGTCACAAGTATAAAATGATCTTGAGACAATCAAATAATTAATTCTAAACTCAAAAAAAGACTAATAGATAACATATTTCTACTAAAATGAGCATGAAAAAATTTAATTAAAAGTCCAATTTTCAAAATAAATTAGAATTTCAGAGAAAAAATCAAATCTAAGTATCAATGATAGCATCATGTATGAGAACTCAAGATCATGGTGATTATTGAGTATTCACACAGAGTTCCTAGATAGCATGGAGTCTGGGAATATCAAACAGTATCTGATATTTTGGCAAAAACTGCAAGTTACCTAACCTGGTTCCTGCAGACAAGATTCATTTTTTTGTGCACGCATGTGTGAGGAGAAAACATAGGGACCCAAAGGTCTTCTTAGCTTTTATCAACTTGGTAATTACAATAGCCAATTTCTCGTGCTCGTCAACTCACAAAAAGCAAGAACTTTACGAAGTACACATTTCAAGATATATGTATTCCTATACTCAAGAACGCAGACTTTTCTATTTGTTTTGAAATAACAATAGCAAGCAAATACCCATGGTTGTATGTAGGCGCCCTCGGTGCAGACTTCTCAGCCATTGCAACATTGATGCTATGACCTCTCAAATCATAATCTGAGAGTACAAAAACATGACCATACAATAATGATAACGTATATAAGTTTAAACTAAAATTAAAAACAATTGCTAATATTATTATTATTATTCTAAACTAAAGAGCACAGTAATTACTGTTATAGAAACCGCCAGCAGAATGTGCCGCTGAGGGATCTTCATATGATACACATGCATCGCCTTTGTTATTTCCCATCTCATCTGTATATATTTTTATGTTCCAAGGCCACTGATCCTTGTAGCCCCTCTTCTGCTTGATTCTTCCAATCTTCAAATTGGAAATTGAAAGAAGGCTTCAATTAAACAGTTCACTATCGGATGCTAAATGCAAAAGCCATTGCTGAAAAAATTTATTCAGCACTTTAAGAAACGAAACACAGTTTATTGGCAATAAGAATAGAGCTAGCCCATTGCCAATGAGAATATCAATTCTAGACGCTCCATAGGCAAGGAGAATAGAACTAACACTATAAGAGCTTCCAATATCACAAACAAATGCCTCAAGAACTAAAAGACATAACTTTTGAACGAGGATAAAACATCAAATGCAACAAAATATAGTTTAATGACAAATTACTTACTTGGCCAATGCCACCAAATAGTTCTCTCAATTCATCAATGGTCACATCTGTTGGCAGATTCGAAACATAGATTCTTGAGTTATCACAAGAATCATCACAAGATTCGTCGCACTGTTTCACCTGTGCTGGCTCTGCTGCTGGTGTACTTCCATAACCACCACCTCTACCACCACCAGCATTATAGCTTCCACCTCCTCTACCACCAGCATTGTAACCACCACCTTTACCACCTGCATTGTAAGCACCATCATATCCAGCTGACGGCCCACCACGACCAGTCGCACTCCGTCCATCACCTATACCATCACTGCCATAGCCACCAGTGGGACCACCATAAGTTGGAGGGTAGGTAGTTCCACTGTAGCTTGCAGGCGGAGGAACTGCATCCGTACCATAATCTGCACTTCCACCACGATAAGATGGTGGATAAGAGCCACCAACACCACCAGATGGGGGGGCTGATGATGGAGGAACCTGACTGTACCCGCTATCCTCTCCTCCCTGGTGACCACCATAAGAATTACCACCTCTGTTGCCTCCTTCATAGCGACCACCATCATGATTTCCACTTCTACCACCATGGTAACTACCGCCTCTGCCATTACGATTACCACCATAACCCCCATCAGCTCCACCCCTATTATATCCTCCACTACCACCACCACCACTTCTGTCACTGGCACCACCAGGTGATGGTGTACCACACTTGTTACACTCCACTCTTCTAGCAAAGTTCACATTCGCACAGCTATTTGGCATTTCAAAAACAAAAATATTAGCAACAACAAATAAACTTAATAGCAGAACAACTGTATACAAGTTCCCCATCATAAATGTCTGACATTTATGCATTCAAGGATGCTGAACCGCTCGATGAATCTATGAAAATAAAAAAAATAAAACAAAATAACCCAGTAATAGACGACGAAAAAACAAATCATACCCAGGATTAGGGCAGACCCAATCGCCATCTCTCCCGCTTCCACCACGACCACCTCCCCCACCACGTCCACCACCTCGCCCTCCACGATCTCCTCCTTGATAGCCACCACCACCACCGCCTCCTAAATTCGATCAAACCAATAAGCAGATAAAAAGATTGAGGTAAGGAAGAAATTGTCAGTCTTTAAGGCGAAAGAAAAAGCAATTTGTTATTAGTATCATATTAGATCTCTGATCACTGGAAACTTCCTACCGAAATACAAGCCAAACACCCCACCTAAGAGCACGAAAAACCCAAGATATTGCAATACAGAACAAAACATCGTCGAACCCATAAATTAAAAGAAAACCTCCTCGACTATAATTAAAAATAAAGGATAAATAATTAATTATTCCTTCAAAAGATGTTTCTATTCCCCAAAGATGCTTGTCTCTAAACGACGAAGATAAAATCTAATAAACAAGTGAAGCACGTACCTCGCCCACCGTAGCCTCCGCCACCACCTCGTCCTCCATATCCTCTACCACCACCGCCGCCGCCTCGGCCTCCGCCGCCATATCCACCATCGCCGCCCTTTCCACCATATCCGCCACCACCGCCTCCATACCCTCCGCCGCCGTATCCTCCTCCACCGCCTCCAGGGGCTCCGTAAGACGAAGGAGCAGCGTCTCCTCCTTGATCGTACATACCAGACATTAGATTTTTCTTTTAGGGCTAAGTTGAGAGAGAGAGAGAGAGAGAGAGACGTAAGAGAGGAAGATGGAGGATTAGGGTTGAATAAATTTGTGCAGGTGTAGAAACCTCCGCAAGTTGAAGATAAAGTTTAGATTCCATTCACTTGGGGCGGCCCAACTTAAAACAATTGGGCCTGCCAACTTAAAACACTTGGGCCTCTACCGGCCCAATTTAATTTTTTGATTCTTTACATATTTTTTAAGCCTTAGAATGTTGTAATTTTGACATTTTCATAAATTTTTATTTAAAAATCAATTTTATTTTCATTCTTGTATACTATAAAATTAATAAAAAAATAAAATAAAAATAATATTAGCTAAAATCTGTAAATTTTGGTAAAATTATGAGCGGTTAATTTCTGCCTCAATCAACTTAATCCGGTAAAAAAATAATATTTAGTAAAAATTTAAAATAAAATTATTAATTTAGTCCAAATTTAAGTCTAATTTGATAAAATTGATTCATCCCTTCCTCAATAATTTACCTTGACCCGTTTGAAATAACATGGGCGGGCCACAAAAAACCCGACCCGGTGGGTGGGTCGGGTTTTATTTAGGCTATTTTCCCTCTTTGCCCTTCTTCCCTCCCAGCAGGCCCTCAGCTTTATTTCTTGCAGATTCCCCGCTTTTCTTGCTTTCTCGCTCCTTCTCAATCCTTGAAGCTTTTCTTCTTCCTCTCGTATCAATCTCTTCTCCACATCAATGGCTTCCAGTTCTGGAGATGGATCTTCGCACGATCCCGCGAGCTCGAGCGAGTTGGAGAAGCCGCCATTGGAGCCTATAAGGATGCCTACAGTCGAGGAGATTCGCGGCCAAGATATTTGGAACAACTGTGCAGTTCGCAGTGTTGTTAGTGGAGTCATGGGTACGTTAGCCAATTTCTTTCAGTTGTTTTAACTACAATTTGCTTGTTGCTTTTTGTAAATCATTTCCCGCATTCTCACTCATGTACTTTATTCTAGTTTCTCTTGCCAATACTGGAATGAATCTTCATGTTTTTTCCTCTTATCGTTTACAACAGTATTACTATCTCTCCGTCTCTTAAATGTGATGCCTTATAGTTTCTGTTAAATTGTTCCTATTTTAGTTTGAGTCTGGGCTGTATATTTAGTTGCCTAGACGATTAAGATTGAGAGGCTCAGCCACCGTGTATATGTTGCTTTAATCATAATTTATGTGCTGAAATATTTGCAGGCGGTGGACTTGGATTGTTCATGGGTTTATTTTTGGGGGCATTGGATAATCCATTAATGCAAGACGAGATGACTGCTAGACAGCAATTTGTTTATACTGCAAAACAAATGGGACGGCGTAGTTGGGGTTCTGCAAAAGCGTTTGCAGTTATGGGCTTCGTTTTCTCAGCAGCAGAATGTGTTGTAGAAAAGGTATCATGATCGTTTATTATTATTTTTTTTCTTCTCAGTTTCTGAATGTGATTTTATGGGATCTAATTCTTTCTTCATGTGCTTAGGCTCGAGCCAAACATGATATAACTAATACAGTAGTCGCTGGTTGTGTAACTGGTGGTTCAATATCAGCTAAAGGTAGGCCCTCTTACCCTTGTATCCATGTACGTTCCTCATTTTCTACTCAAGTGTCACCATGTGGTGAATCCTTCAGCTTCTAGGCATGTAAATGTCTTTCACGAAAAAAATTCAGGGGTTCAGTACTCCTGTTGAGCTAAAATACTGGAGTTCGTGCATTTTAGATTGATTCGTGTTCAGAATGAAATTATAAGTTTATGACCTCGATCTTGCAGTAGGAAATAATGTTCTATAGGCTCTACCTCTGCATCCTTGAATTCTAAGGATAATATTATAAGCTCTTGTTTTCCGGGTCACATTACAAAGAAATTTGCAGGGATAGGGTATACATGTGTGCACAAGAAGTTCAATTGGCCTTGCTAATTTATTTCCTTACTATACTTTCTGACTGATCTTGGTTGAAATTTCATCCTTCAAGTTGCCAGAGAATAACCTGTTCGCTTTCAATAACACTGCTGTGCTAGCTTGTGCCCTTTTTTCTCTCGATCTGTTGTGAACAAAAGCTGCAAAGAGACAAAGGCATCGGTCTCCTAGGGGCATCTTTGGATATTTAAAACTACTTAAACCTGACCTGATATCAAATCTTGAAAGATCCTCCAGCTAAACCTCACATAGAATAACTCTAGAAGCATTTGGCCAAAGTAGCCTACCCATCCTTTTAGATTAAGGAATCACCGAGGAGAGCGTCCTTTGTCGAGAAGGGATTAACCCAGCTTATCCCAGAAACACAAAGTTTCTCCACGACAGCTGAAACGTGAAGAGAGAAGAAAAACATCTAGCATTCTCAATATATTCATGTATAATAAATGGCGATTTGGGAAACAGATGTGCAGATTCCTTTCCTGGTCTTCATTTATGTTTAAGCCTTCAAGCATAGTCTAAAGTAAAACTTTTACCTAACATTAGATACCAGTCTTTCCATGAAGCCTTAAACTTATTTTTGGAAAATAACTAGTTGCATTAAGTCTATGACAAAGGGTTTCGCTAGAAAATACTTCTCTAGGGTCCTGATTGACCTGTCATTCTCACTGCTAACATTTCAGATTTTCAGCATCTGAAGAATTCTTTCCCATTCCTAGATTTCCTCGTATTTCAAATTTAAAGCATATGGAACTATAGTAGTGATGTCAACGCTGCCTTACATTTGGAAATTTGCTACCGGTTAGATCATACAGCCCTTGACAGGTATTTGACAGTGGCCAGCCCTTGATTCAAATATCTTTTGAAAATGTAACTTATTTTATTTGCCAACCCGGGAAGATTGATAAAAAGCTTGGGGGGGGGGGGGGGGG